GGACATGCATCTTAACCTTTCCAATGCAAACTACCTCAAAGGGCGGGATTTGAGCCCAGTCACCCAACCTGTCTGACCTCAGCTTCCTCCACTCTAAATGTAGAGACCTCTACCGTCTCTTCAAGCTGGAAAAGTCTGTGATTCTGTTTCTTGTAAGAAACAAACCAAATACATATAAAAGTCCAAGAAACTTGAGACCTGAATGGATACTTTTTGAAGGAGTTTTGTAAACATGTTCATTCAATGTGCTATTTATTGGGCACTTACTATGTGCCCAGGGTTGTAAATATACAACCCTGAAGATACAGGTAAATTCCCATCCTCATAGAGCCTCCACTCTGCTGGGTGCATGACAGACAGACACAGACAGATAGACAGACCGTCCAGGTGGTGCTATGGAGAAAAGTCACGCAGAGAAAGAGGGTAGACCATGTCAAGACCAGGGTGAGGAGGGATGGGGGCCAGGGACACTATTTTACATAAGGATCTTAGGGAAGGACTCCAGACGGAGGGAGCGACAAGCACAGATGTCCCGAGTCACGCTCGGAGTGCTCTAGGACGAGCTGGGAAGCAGTGTGACCGAGGATGAGCACAGGAAGCAGGGGACAGGTTCAGAGACCGGGCTCCGACTAGCTAGGGCTTTGGGTTCTAGTGTGAGTGGGATGAGGAACGACCGGAGGAGTGTGAGCAGAGGGCTAACGTGGTCTGGAAAACTGAAAGACGACGCAGATTCTGAGTGGTCCACGAAGACGATGGAGTCCCCGGGATATCAGATACCCTGGCGAGATGCTTGAGGCTCTAAAGCAATGAGGCGTATCTGTTCCAGCCAACGCTTCAACCCAAATCCTTGGCCTTGGTGAGAAACCCGCCCCATCCCCGCTGGAAGCCTCATTTATCGTCCACTGTAGGGTTGGTGATTACTGGGGATACAGTGGGATCAAAGACATAATCTCTACCCAGTCTGCAGACAAAGAACTTGAGGTCTGGCCAAGCTGAGTAATAACCAAAGCTACAGGCTAGGAAAGTGGCAGAGCTGAAATCCCAACCCAGGGCTGTCTGGTTCTAGACAAGGCACCGACATTTGCAACGCTGGCTGACATTCAGAAGAGGAAAAGTATTTTGAGAAATGAAGAGACTTGCGCAAGATCACACAGCTGTGAGTGGCAGAGCTGGGTCTCAGACGGACGCCAGGGGACTCTGTCCATATGTCCCAGCTTGGGTTCCCTGGAGAGCAGCTCTGCAATGGGAAGCGCAGCAGAATGTCAAGCAGGGACTGATCTTGAGACCAGCACTGATCTATAGAACATGTCAGGGGAAAGAGGCAGGGTTGCGCTGAGAACAACTGAGCTGTGACAAAGGACGAACAAAGGCCTCAGCCCATCCCACCAGGAGAGTGTCGTCTTTCAGAGTCATCTCAAGCTGGGTAGAGGGGCTGGGCCTTTACACACCCACACTGATCAGTCCTTGGGTCTGGGCTGACCTTGGGTGATGCCGTTTTTCAGCCAAGGCCATCCCCAAAGTGGGGTGACAGCTAAGGGCCACCCTCCCAGCCACTGAGGAAGTGAGTCCTCAATCCGTCATTCCAGCCAAGCGGGGTTTGGGTGGAACATCGCAGCATCCGCCACACAAGTTGTCTCTCATCACAGAGTCCCTCGGGAACACCCCTGGGCCTTTGACAAGTTA